GCAAAAAGCATTTCTGAGTCTAGTAGGACCTCCTGAAAATCTGAGGAGGAAATATTTTGGCCTGTTTCCATTCAGCAATGGAAACTCTTTCGAATCAGACGGTGGCTTTCTGGGTCCTGTGGCTGCCTACCCATAGGGAGTCTGCACTGGCTTTTTAGCCAGGCAGGGTCCCCTCCCTTCTCTCTTCTCCTCCATCCTCTTCCTTTCAAAAGTAATCCTCCTCGTTGCCCTGAAAAAGCACAAACCACCACCATCATCTGACTCAGTTTCTCTGCAAAGAAACTGAACTATGTTTGTGCTAGGCGTCTATAAACATCACTGTTTTTAGCGTTTCTGCTGGGACCCCGGTATCATATCGAAGTTCTTTTCTCAGAAAGTTCCCTCTCTCACTAGAAATCTGACATAGCTGTTAGAACAACTTTTTTTTTTTTTTTTTTTTTTAAACCCTGTTATACTGAAATATGTTTACTTCAGGGGTTATTAAGTTTCCTTCCTGTTCTTCATCTCCCTTTTGTTAGATAGATATGTTATTCTTGAACAACTTCCTTTTTCTCTCTACTTTCCTACCTTGATTTCTCCCATGTGCTCTTTCAAAAGTTTCTTGACCTCCAGAACCTTGGACTTTATTAAGGTATTTTCCCCAAAGTAACCTTTTCCTTCTCAAGTGGATCAGATTGACAAAAATGAGGTGTAAAAAATAGCCATCATACCTGTCTGGGCTACTTAGCTGAACTAGTTTCCTTTCGAATGCTCTACAGAAGTACTTCTGTTTGCCTGTCTGTAGCCTTATCGATACTCAGCAGACAGTAACCACTCTTTGCCGGTCTCCAGCGTGACTTAGCAGTGACAGCTTCTCTCTCCCGACTTTCTAAGTAGCGCCTCTTCGTCACTAAGTGTCATCTGTTCTCCGGTGCTCATATTACCCTGGGTCTTATTTTCATTAGTTCTTGAATTAAGTTTTTCCTTACGTCCACTAGAATCAAAATAAGCAACCTCTGGGAATTACTACCAAGCTCTCTGTCTCTCTCTCTTTTTTTCCCTCGAGATGGAGTCTTGCCCTGTTGCTCAGGCTGGAGTTTAGTGTCACGATCTCAGCTCACTGCAACCTCTACCTCCTGGGTTCAAGCAATTTTCCTGTCTCAGCCTCCTGAGTAGCTGGGAATACAGGTGCCTGCCACCACACCTGGCTAATTTTTGTGTTTTTAGTAGAGACAGGGTTTCACCATGTTGGCCAGGCTGGTCTCAAACCCTTGACCTGAGGTGATCCACCTGTCTCATCATCCCAAAGTGCTGGGATTACAGGCATGAGCCACCACACACGGCCACAAGTTTTTCTTATTTAAATTTTTCTGGTGCAAGTAGCTGGTGGCCCAGCCCAAGACATCTCAGTGGTAATTAATACTACACTTCAACAGCTCCCCATCTCTGCCCCACAGAACACAAAACAACAAACACCAGGTGGGTGCTGCCAATGATTTTCATTTCTGAGAAATAATTCATAGTTTTCAAAAATGAGCTTAACAGCTGCTAGTTTTTAAAAAAAAAAGTAACATGATTTCTTTTAAGGTTTTAATTAACAATGGCTGTGTGTCAAAAAGGTGCCTATTTGTGAGGAATTTGACTTCAGGAGAGGAAACACGTGTGCGTATCCGTGAGCAATGGAAGACCTACACTGATGGGGGCTGTTTTTATTTGGGAATGTTTGCTGGTTGAGGATAAAAAAGAATACAGTTATTACACAGCTATTATACATCTATACAAGTAGATGCTTAGACAGCAGTTTCACTGATTGACAGAGGAAACCACTTTGGATACTCCTTTTCTCATGCAGGTTGGAGAGATGCCTTAGTCTCATTTCCCGGGTATATCGGGGGAAGAACAAAGTGCCTGATCTGACCGCCGCTTTTGATGGCCAGCTGGGAGAGTTCCGACAAGTCAACCTCTCAGAGTCTGAGCATTCTTCTTTATAAAAATGGGCACAACAATAAAAAACCGAAAACCAAAAAAAGGCCAAACAACGGACCCAGGATACGCAGCCTTCCTGCGGGACGCATGCACAGGCGTGCACCGCACAGGGGAGCTGGGGGCTATCGGGGCGCAGGCCCCCCGACCCCCCGACTCTGCCCTGCGTGGCTCCCTACTGCGATTGGCCTGGCTGGTGGCTGTGGCTGCTGTGTCCTCGCCCAGCCAATGCCCCTGAGGATCACTCAGGTTCCCCACAGACCTCTCTTGTTCAGTCACTGGGGCGGAACCCAGTGGGAGCTTTCTTGGATTGTGCCTGACTGCAGCTTCCTCCCGCTATCTGGGCCTGCCGGATAGCCACCTTGCTGGGAATTCTTAAACCTTCTAGAGCTCTGAGGTTTGTGTTTCTTATTTTTGAATATACATTTATTTGGTTTTAAACACATCTTCTGTCATTCTTGGGGGCTCTGTGAGTGGGAAGGAGAGGCGGTGGTGTTTGGTTGGTTAACATCATGAAACCAAAGTGTCAAGGTGTAATTTTACTTTACATTGCTTGGTCTCTAGTGGGACTGGAATTGTTTGTTGATGATATTCCTTTTATTCCTAAGTAGTTACATTTTTTTTTCTTTTGAGATAAGTAAGATCTTGCTCTATTGCCCGTCTGGGGTGCAGTGGTGCCATTGCAGCTCACTACAGCTCGAACTCCTGGGCTCCAGCAATTCTCCCTCCTCAGCCTCCTGCAGTTAGGACTACAGGCATGTGCCACCATGCCCAGCTAATTTTGGGGGAGTTTTGGGGGTGGGGGTAGAGACAGGGTCTCACTATGTTGCCCAGTGTTGGCTCGAACTCCTGGGCTCAAGCAATTCTCCCACCTAGGCCTCCCAAAGTGCTAGGATTATAGGTGTGAGCCACCACCCCCGGCCACGAGTCACATTTTAAACATGATCCCAATGATAACTTCGATCCTCGAAATGAAAAGGCAAAACAAGGCTAAGGAAAAGAGTTCAAATGATGATATCTGAGTGTGTTACACACCATGAGCGCTAATATTCACAGATTACCGGCGAAGGTGCTGTTTGCTTCCGCACTGCTCTGAGAGATCAAAGTTCTTCCAAAAAAAAAAAAAAAAAAACTACTCGAGATTTACCTTTCTTGCTATTATCTACTTATTCTCCCTTTCAGTAGCCCAGAGTGTAAGGCTGATCCCTTTTTGGACAATTTACCAATAATTATCTTAGTGTTTTACCTTACTTCACGGCTACAAACTCGCCCATCTCCTTTGGAAAGTCTGCTGTTGCTCCTCTTATCAAATGTGCACCCCAGGTACGGAGGACAGCCACCCGTGCTTGGAATGCTATTTGCATTGACACAACCCAGCGTTCCACCGTTGTTGACTCTTAGTAAACTTGAGGGAACTAAAACTCATTTTTTAAAATGTAGCTATTTTATTATTTTTCTCCCAATTGTGAATTTGGATAGCTTTTTTTTTTTTTTTTTTTAATGTAGGAACCTGGCTTTACGTTGTATCCCTATTATATTTTGTGTTGTTAGATTCATCCTACCCATCTAGGCTGCCAAAGGCTTTTGGGTCCTGACTCCCATCGGATATTTTAGCTCTCCTCCCCTGCTTTATAACTTTCACAAATGAGAAGAGTCGGCCTCTGAGCCGCACCCAGCCACTAGTAAAATACTGGAGAGAGAAGGCCAAGAGCAGAGCCAGGCGGCACATCTCCCTAAGAGCCAGATTTCAGAGAGGAAAGTGACCCCTGTAGCAGAAAGGACAGTGGATGGCGTGTGTGTGTGTGTGTGTGTGTGTGTGTTACTGGCAGTGCCTTTAATACAAAGCACCATGCTTCTTAAAAATATGAAAGTGCAGGAAATTTAGCATATCAAAAATGAGGCTTGTGCTCAAAGCGGGCAGTCACAAAGACTGCCGACTCCTAAAACGGGATGCTACCCTTGGGCTCTTCCTGCCTGCATTTTGCCTCCCTGCCAACATGAGATGCGAGTGAGAAGTGAGGGCTGAGTCACTGTCACTCTGCACCTGTTCCAGGACTGCTCAAGTCTTTTACCCACTTCTAGAATAGAAAAGAGGTCAGTGTGGAAAGAGATGATTCTGGAGAGGGCTTCAGTGAGCAGTTATCTCTGGAGAAAGCTGTGCCTGACTAATGCCCAGCCCGCCTACCAACCCCCACAACTTTCCCCCAACCCCACCCCATCCCAGACGCAGAGGCAGATGCCAGTCACGCACTGCAACAGAAGCACTGGGTCCACGTTTGACCACGCTTACTTCTATAAGGCAACTGAGGGTCTTGGACAAATAACCAATAATGGTCTTATCCTCAATTTACTTAGGAAGTTTTTTTTTTGGACTTCTATGTTATAATTCTTAAGCTAATATCTGAAGATATAGAGCCATTCTTTCTATTCATCATTAACAAATCTTCTAAAATGTCATTATATATACTCAGATTATGTATGTTGGCATGTGGTAATTGACGTGTTCTTTGAAATTTTAACAACTAAATAAAATTAGTGTTTAGCTTAGTTCCCTAGATTGTTATACTCTGGAACTGTTAAGACTTATAATAACATAAAAATGCCTCATCCTCAGTCTTTATCTGCTCTTTTAAAACAGACTTTAATAAAATGCATCAGTGACTCAACTACCCACATCCATGTGTCATACTTAAAGGGTAGATAACTAAGAAGAGGCTGTTACCAAACAACTTGGATTTTTATACTTAAGAAAATTATAGAGAAAACATAATTTTACAGAAAAATATATAATATAAAGTAATTTAGTGAATTAGTCTTGAATGCAAGAAAATTCACTGTTATTTTTCTTTTCTTTCTCTTTAGAAGGTTTTCCAACTGATAGCCTGGAAAAACAAATTATTTGCTGAACTTAGCACTTCAGTTTTCTCTTATTCAGGGGAGAAAACTCCCCCATATAACATGTAAAATAGCTTAATATTTATTTTTGTAACTTAAATTGATTTTTCTTTTCCGTCAAATCAAATGCAATGGAGCCGGAGTTCTGTGTTTGTCACCAATCCTTTATTGAAACTGGTAACTTACACACTTTATAATAGAACAACAAAAATAATGTTCAATATATACAGCCTTTGCATGGACTATTAGACTATACACAGGCAGAGTGATAACACAATCTAATCTTCATCATCATCTGTGCACAAAAAGACACCAAACAGACAACATGTGCACATCACAGTGAAATGACATCACAGGTCCAGTGAAAATTCAGCATAATACAAAACGGACTGCTCTATTGCAAATGACATCTTTCTAAATGCCCAGCTCTTACTCAGTAGTAATTTACCCAGAGTCTGAAGCAGAGATTGGTTGTGTGGCTATAAGTCTCTTCAGAGAGACAACCTCTGCAGATAAGTTTGCTATCCCCTGCTTCAAATACAAATTCTCTGGGCCAGAAACTTTGTAGCCACTGTCTTTCATTTCAACAACTCCAGTTTTGAAACTATTCTGAGTTTTGCCACTCAGTTCTTTTTGATGCCAGTGCTCCGATTTGAGAGACCAATCTTGAATGTTAGTCACTTGCACTGAGAAAGGAGTAAGAGAAGAATGTACCATACTTGGGGCACTATGCTTTTCGAGTTCAAAATGTCTTTTAGATGTCATGTCAATAGGGGAGGAAAGTTTTTGCGTGGCCTCAAATTCATTATCAAAGGCTTCTACTTTGATCTGCATGGCTTTAGCTTTGATCCGGAGTTTGTGTGGCAAGGCAGAGGAATTCACTTCTGGAACTTTAACCACCGTTGCATGCACGTGCTTGAGTTCAACTGGAGAATGGATGGGGCCCTTGGGGACCTGTTGCTCATCTTCGCCATCAGATGACTTTCCTACCACACCATCGTCGGTTTCCGACGTTCTCGGGGAGTTGCTGGAGGATCGGTTGACTTGCAGTAGTGGGGGAGAGTGTGAGTATCCAGAAAAAGAATTCCCCATATAGTTTTGATAGATGGACGCTGTGTAAGAGCCTCGGTCATCTCTCGTCTCCCTTGTGTAGCTCTCTAATTCCATCGGCTCTTGCTTGATAATCTGGAACTTGTTTTCAGGACTTCTGCAGCTTCCCTGCACAGAGCTCTCCTGCGTGTGCTCTACCGAGGACACTTCGGAAACATCGGACAGCGAGCTTTGTGGAGAGTGTTTAATAACAGAAATACAACTGCTTGCCACCATCGAGGGTTCGTGCTCGTCCACAAATGAGCTCACATTGGATTTGGAAGTCTGGTAATCTTGAAAGTACACAGCTGTAGAATTACTGAGTTTCTGAATCTCTTGAGCATATGCTGTGGAGCTAATTAAACCAAACTTTAATTTTAGTGAAAGCAGCTCAGCTTTTAAAGTGGCGTTTTCTTCTCCCAGTGCAATTAGTTTGTTCTCTAAAACCAGGTCATTCAGTCGACGCTTCTCACGAGATCTTTTGGCAGCTTCATTATTTTTCCGCCTTTTTTCCCAGTACATAGCATCTTTCTTTTCATCGGGAATGAACTCCCGTTTCCTCCGACAGGCAGAAGATTTGTTTTTCCCCACACTTCCTTCACTGAGAAGCAGCTCCTCACCTGTTGTGGAGTCTTCAGACACTTCCGTTAAAGCAGAATTAAGGACCATCATCTTGTCCACATTGCTACTGGCATCAAGAGATGCCTGCTCCTTTTTGATGGTCTGCATTTTTCTCAGCTGCATCAGAAACAACCTTCCCCTATATATGCGTGTAGGAGAACAAATTAATTTCCCCGTATTCTCAAGCTCTTTAAAAACTCTGGTTTAAAATCCATCAATATTCTTCCTTTTGTTCTACTGTCTGGGATAAATCCTTCAGGCTCCTTATTGAATGAAGCTGGGCCTCCGTGGTTATCTGCAATACATGAATAAAAAAAAAATCCCAGTTATTCATTGGATAAATGTTTATTACAAATTATGTACAAGGAAATATGCTAAGCATGTAGGGCATACAAGCACAGATGAGGCACGGCCACAGTTCTTTCTTTCAACGAGTTAGCATTCTCAAAAAGGAAGTAAGTTCCCAAATACCTAAACTATAAAGCTGTAAAGGACAAATCCCTAATGAGACCTATCAGTAAGAGAATATGTGGTCCAGGAAAGTGAGGGAAAAATAACCTCTGCCCAGAGAGAGATAGAGGAAGGCTGTATTTAATGAGGCAAAATGGAGAAATAGTTGGGTGTGGGCAATTACAGGAAGTAAATGACAGATAACCTCTGGTTGGTTAAGTTTCTAAATAGTACATGCATACCGTGGTGCTTCTAAATAACGTTACCTAATATTTACGTCACTGCCAAGCAATATGCTCACCTCTTAAAAGGGACTTAACCAAGTAAACTTTAACATGAGTAAAAAAAAGTTCTGCACTCCTATATGGAATACAATATAAATGGAGACAAATTTCTTCCACAAAAACTAAAGTAAAAGCCACATTAACAACGGAGCTGTTGGTTTTAATCTACACCTTAACGTGGACTTAAACCTGCCCATCACATCCCTGACTGCCTGGTAGGCTTATATTCCAGCAAATTCCACCAGGTGACTCACTGCAACTCAATGAAAAGGATTCTTCTCAATCAAGTCATCTCTTTACAAACATCTGAGTTTAAGAGATTAGAATTTTTTTTTCTGATTCCTTTGAATTGTTCTATCAAACATTCAACATTGAAGTATCCAAAATACTTCTTGTGATCTTGAAAATTCTGTCAAAATAGATTTCAGATTTCAGTTACAGAGTAGCTTTGAACTAAAAAACAGTTACTAGGCCAGGCGCCGTGGCTCATGCTTGTAATCCCAGCACTTTGGGAGGCCAAAGCGGGCACATCACGAGGTCAGGAGATCGAGACCATCCTGGCCAACATAGTGAAACCCTGTCTCTACTAAAAAATACAAAAATTAGCTGGGTGTGGAGGCGTGCACCTGTAATCCCAGCTACTCGGGAGGCTGAGGCAGGAGAATCGCTTGAACCTGGGAGGTGGAGATTGCAGTGAGCTGAGATCACGCCACTGCACTCCAGCCTGGTGACAGAGCAAGACTCTATCTAAAAAAAAAAAAAAAAAACCACACACAAAACAAAAAAAACACTATTTTATTCAAAGGGGTTTTTAAAAGTATAGTGCATTCTTGAAACAAAATTATTTTAAACCAAGATAATATAGTTACAGAAAAAAATTTCTTTCATTTATATGAATTAGTTTCAAGCAAAATATAAGAACTCAAGAATAGAATCATTCATTAGTTTCCTCTTCCACTGATGAAATACTTACAGTACAAATTTGGCCTGACGATTGCCTTAGCTTGAGTTAATAAAATCCATGTTATGTTCCAATAGCAATCGTTGCATGGGGGCTTTTGAATTTAGCTATGTTTCTAGACACTGATTCTCTGCCTCATGTTCCAGTTGGTAATACTTTTCGTAAAATAGACGTGGTACAACAACGGTTCCATCAGCACGATCTGCACACAGTAGCACTTTATCCTACCATACTAAAAAGATGTAATGAGCCAGGCGTGGTGGCTCGTGCCTGTACATCCCAGCACCTTGGGAGGCTGAGGTGGGTGGATCACCTGAGGTCAGGAGTTTGAGACCAGCCTGGCTAACATGGTGAAACCCCATCTCTACTAAAAATACAAAAATTAGGCATGGTGGCAGGTGCCTGTAATCCCAGCCACTCGGGAGGCTGAGGCAGGAGAATTGCTTGAACCCAGGAACCCAGGAGGCGGAGGTTGCAGTGAGCCAAGATCGCGCCACTGCACTCCAGCATGGGGGACAACAGCGAGACTTCGTCTCAAAAAAAAAGATGTAACGTTCTTACATGATGTCACTATCTCTTTCTTATGCCTAGTTTCATAATGACTAATACAGTGAAGTTTACTTTTATCAATTGGAAAAGCCTGCCAGCTTCTTTTGTCTTTTCCAGAAGGAATGAAAGGAATTATGTAATAATTTCAGGATCATAAAGAATAATGTTTCATGCCAGGTTTTTGCCCATTAAACTGAGCCAACACAGTTAAGGGAACAGCTAGTCGTAACTCAGAGAAATTTGTGATTATGAATACCAAGTTTCTGTTCTTTGATAATGAAACTTTAATGGGAAATGAAGGCAAGGAGTATGTCACAGTCAGCAATGATGCTGCAGAGAAGGAATCTTCCTATTTATCATTTAAACAATATTATTTCCTTTTTCTTTTTTTGATACAGAGTCTCGCTCTGCTGCCCAGGCTAGAGTGCAGTGGCGCAATCTTGCTGCACTACAACCTCTGCCTCCCGGGCTCAAGCGATTCTCTTGCCTCAGCCTCCTGAGTAGCTCGGGTTACAGCTGCACGCCACCAGCTAATTTTTTTGTATTTTTAGTAGAGACAGGGTTTTACCATGTTGGCCAGGCTGGTCTTGAATGCCTGACCTTAGGTGATTCGCCTGCCTTGGCCTCCCAAAGTGCTGGGATTACAGGCATGAGCCACCACGCCCAGTCAACAATACTGTTTCCTCTAATTTGCATTTAGGTTTTATCCTTTAACATGAAAGCCCAGTTTCCTCCACATATTGAATGGATTCTTTCCTCTGTTGAAGTCTGTACTCTGCCATTCAGCAAAGGCCTCCTGCTGAAGTAAAACGAGTGGAGAAGTAAAGAGGAAGATATCCCAGTTAAAGACGACTGCACTAACCTTTCCCAAGGCACCTTTCAAATCTCCACTATAGTCTCGGCCACTACTTTTTTCCACTTTTAGTTTTTAAACATCATATGATCCCTTGCAGACTATTAATTCTGGTTATTTTCTCCACTTGAGAATCTTTCTCTTTCATGTGTTATCTTATTTGTTCCTTCTTAAAAAAAAAAAATCAGACTCCTTTATTTTGCCTCACTTACTAGTTTTTACAGTAATGCTTTTAAAATGCCCCACCATTCTGTCTGTCTTAGTTACTCTTCCTAAACTTCGAGGACCTTTTCAAGGTTGGGGCGCAATTGGGAAGGAGCCTTCACAATCCTATTTCTATTTAACTAAAATAGCCCCATGTGTCTTAAAATTTCCTTAACTCGTGTCTTCTAGGTGTCTAAGTACTATATGTCTACTTTATCATCTCTACAACTTTGTTGGCACATTAAGACCTACAGAAAACCTCATTTCCTTTTTTTTTTTTTTAGACGGCGTTTCACTCTTGTTGCCCAGGCTGGAGTGCAATGGTGTGATCTTGGCTCACCACAGCCTCCGCCTACAGGGTTCAAGCAATTCTCCTGCCTCAGCCTCCTGAGTAGCTGGGATTACAGGCATGTGCCGCCATGCCCAGATACTTCTGTATTTTTAGATGGGGTTTCTCCATGTTGGTCGGGCTGGTCTTGAACTCCTGACCTCAGGTGATCCGTCCACCTTGGCCTCCCAAAGTGCTGGGATTACAGGCGTGAGCCACCGCACCCGGCCATCTCATTTGTTTTTAATTATCTTCTTTATGAAATTGAATTTCATGACATGTCACTATAAATCTGTGATTCTTCTCTCATCTGTATATATTACATTCATGGTCTCTACAACTCAGTGGCAAATCACCATACTATCTTAGGATATTTTCTGTAATATTATGTATCAAATAATCTTGCAGTGTTAAAAAGAGTTTATCAGCATTGTGGGATGATACGGAGAGAGGCGTAATCACACACACTGTGTGTGTTTCCACATGTTTGTCTTTGTGCCAAACTACACTGGGAATTACTTCAGGGTGGAAATTAAAATATACTTGCAGTCTTCCAGCAAAAACCTGAAGATATTAGGTGCTCAACATTTCATTGACAGTCACCCATATACTTTATATAAGAGAGTTTTGTAACCAGAAAACTTTTTTGATGCTTTCTTTTAATGTTATGTGAATTGTAAAGAAGATATTTTACTTATTAACAGAGAGATTCTCTTATTCATTAATTGGTTTATTCAACACATATGGAGCACCTACTGTGTACTGGGCACAAGGGATGACTGGGGGCACATAAACAAGGAGAGGAAAAACCAAACTCCCGAGACCAGACACTCAGTCGTGGGTGGGAGACAAACAGGTGAGCGGAGGGGAACCAGGTGTGAGTGCAGAGCTGCACAGACACGGGCCTGGGGTGCAGGCTTTCTTCCTGTCATGGAGATAATAACAAAAACAATCATAATAGGTGTCATTTATTGAACACTTACCACAGAACGGGCACTGGGAGCCTGACCTGCTTTCCTTCATTCACTTTCAATGACTATTTTCAGATAAGAAAACTAAGGCTCACAGAAGTCAAGTGACTTGCCCAGTGTCACACAGCTAGTTAAATGGCAGAGCTTACATTCTGGCCCAGTTCCTTTACTCTCTCCTACACTTTCACAGGTGGTTCTGCATCTGTGCAATGCAGTCTTATTTACACACAGTTCTCTTTTGTGTCACTTTCATTTCTAAGTAATACACACCCCCTTACTAAGTTACTTCGGGCGCAGTAAGGCACTATGCTAGCTTAACTTTTTTTGTTTTTTTTTTGAGACAGAGTTTCGCTCATGCTAGCTTAACTTTTTTTTTTTTTTTGAGATGAAGTTTCGCTCAGGCTGGAATGCAATGGTGCGATCTCAGCTCACTGCAACTTCCACCTCCCGGGTTCAAGCGATTCTCCTGCCTCAGCCTCCCGAGTAGCTGGGATTACAGACATGCACCACCATGCCCAGCTAATTTTGTATTTTTAGTAGAGACACGGTTTCTCCATGTTGGTCAGGCTGGTCTCGAACTCCCTACCTCAGGTGATCTGCCTGCCTCAGCCTCCCAAAGTGCTGGAATTACAGGCATGAGCCATCACGCCTGGGCCCTTAACTTCTTTTAGATGCTGTCTTAACTTCTTTAAGCC